AAACTTTTTGCACCTGGTTTGAGTGTGCATACTGTGTTTTGTGTTTTTTAATTTGTTCACACGTTAAAGTCAGCATTTTTTGCTAAATAAAACTATTTACAGTCCCCAAGCATTATATATTTTCTGAAAGCAGAAGCCCTGGAAAATAAAATGGTGGCAGTTTAAATTTTTAATTAATGTAATATAATATTTGTGGAAAAATACACTAAAATTAATTTTAGTGTCCAAAAAAAACCAATATAATACCCACTTTTTGGTGAAATATAAAACATGATGTTACATCAAGTAATAGATACCAAATTTGTCAAGACTCAAATTGCACGTGCCCATGAAATGACAAAAACTATAGTACCTATTTTCAAAAATCATCATCACTTCCAGCTTCATTATTCACAGAGGAGATGGAGGAACAAATGTTCCCTTATCTCCTCTGTGTTTAGTGATACTTGCAATTGTCCCATGCTCCCTGGGAGAATGGAAGAGTCAGGGAACCACCAGCCGGAGAGGAGGGCAGCCCTTCTCAATACCATAAAAATTATCAGGCGGGTGTAAATCCACCCAGATCACTTTTACTGAACAGCCAATGTTCAAACCAAAAAATTTCACCAAGCTCATGTCTGTAGTTGTATCCATCATGGTTGTTATAACCACTTGCTGGCAGGACATACTGTATAATATCTACATAAAACAGGCAATACATGGTTAATATTAGAAAAAAAAAGAAAAAATGTCAATGTTAATCAAAAATTTCCCTAACTGCATCACACCCATAATCTGTATATTAATGTTCCTCAGCATGATGTTTTTTACTCAGTATACATTAATACACTTCCTATAGGAGAACAATCAGCAAGCATGGGTCCCCCCTGCTAATTATGTACCTGTACTGTCACTGACAGCTGTCCCAGCTGACTAGTTATCAGGAACTAATCAGCATGGTTGTCAATCATGTTATCTCTATGAGAGCTAATCTTAGTGATCACATGCATTTGTTGACAAAATAAACCCACCCTCTGAGCTGCCATTGACAGCCAGCTGTTAAAGTGAAAGATAAAACAAGTGATAAGTTGTGAAATATAAATTCATTTTTCAAAAACATTTTTGTCCATTCCACAGCTTCTAATAAAAAAAATAAGCAGATCATTTACTAAAACAGCAAACCAAATGAAAGTTTTATGTATCTTAAAAATATTACAAAAAATATTTAGGTAGGCAAATTAGCTATGGGAGTTATTATACACTTAATAAAAGCATAATGACCCTACTAAATTTGGTCTGGACGTCAAGGCATCACTGACCTCTGGTCATGAAAAGGCTTAGCACTGTAATAAATAAACTTAAAATAGGTCCTCATTGTAAATGTAGTAGACTTGTAATACTACACCAGCATAACATTCATAAAAAAGGCTTTATACCATCATGAAAACATGTAGCTATTTAAATCTGCAAAGATAAACGAATATTTATACAGACATTTAAAAGGAAACTAAAAGATAAACTATGTTGTAATTCTCAAACAGCATAGGTTTAATTCTGCACTATCATAAGTTACTGTGTTGAATTTGACAGGTGTACTATAAAAGAACACATTTCACAGTATTTTGGTGTGAAAAATATTTAACAGGCAGATACAGATTTAACAGTAGTACAGAAAATGAAAAAATAGATTAAAAAAACATTTCACTTAGTAATGATTTGGAGCACCTGATACTAGTGCTTGTTCTGGTGCCATATGTTGAATCGATTAGAACATATTACAAACCATGGACATGTGACCTTTCTCACTTGTACATAAAAGGAAGATTAAGGTGCTTTCTGATTGGATGCAAATGAATGCATTAGGAATGTTTTTGAGCTGGAAGATGCATCCATTTTTAATGAATATTTGCAGGAACAAACACTTCTTGGTTGTATTTTTTTTTCATGTATTTGACCTTTTCTGTTATGGGGCTTTGTGCTATACAAAGACAAAGGATATGCCAGTAAACTCTATATTGTAATACGTATGCCTATGAAACTCTAAATACTGTGTTATCTATAACCAGTCTTGACTATGTATGCACTGTATATTCATAAAATCTTTACATAATTATTTACATTTTCTATTAAATCAATATAATTAGCATTCATACTGACTTGTTTTAGAACACAATATAATGGGAAGTAAATTCATAATTTACTATATAATGGGAGGTAAAATCCATCATCTAACATATATACAGTACGTATAAACAATATATAATCTATTTTAATGAATTGATTAAATCCATAAATTATTAGCTAAATCTAAATTGATTAAAAAACACATTATACACAAGCACCCTAAAAATATATAAAAAATATATAAGGATCAACCTCAAATGTATAGTGACCTTTATACTAATGTTCAGATAACAGATGCTTCCCACACAGGGTTTATTCAGCAATGTAAAGCAATACAGCAAGTCCTCAATATCCAAATCACAATTACAGATTAACTCTTTTGACTGCCTCTCGCTGTTTTACAGGTCAGACCTCTTTCTGTTCGGACAAAGAAACCCACCCGGAAGTCTTTCTAATACAACCAGCTCACCTAATATACCACCATAGTCTGGGGTGCAGATAAATCAGATAAATCCCCTTCAAGATCCTGGACCAAGTGTGACTGTTTGTCACAACATATTTAAGGTCAAGCATATCAATGTGGATGCAAGTATGTTTATAGTAGTATGTGATGAAAGGAAAAACTTCCTGCAGATTGTATTATTGTCAGAAACCCAAACACAGAACCTTAGTACAGCAAGACAAGTGCTATGCTGTCCAAATTAATAAAAACATACTCTTAAAAAATACTGATGGGAACCTCTCCTAAGCTCCTCCCATTCCCCCATTCCCTCCCTCCCTTTCTCCCCTTCCCTTCCTTCCTCCTTCCTTCCTTCCTTCCTTCCCTTCCTTCCTTCCTTCCTTCCTTCCTTCCTTCCTTCCTTCCTTCCTTCCTTCCTTCCTTCCTTCCCTCCCTCCCTCCCTCCCTTCCTCCCTTCCTTCCTTCCTTCCTTCCTTCCTTCCTCCCTCCCTCCCTTCCTTCTGCGTGTTTTGCGGCAACACAAGGTATAGCACTTTTTGTACTTTGGTGGGTAATGGTGACATTCATGGTAAATTTGCTGCTTGGTCTTCCAAACAGGTAATGATCTGTTTCAGATGCAGCACACTTTTTTTTCATGCTATCTGAACCATACAATAAAGAAACATAACAGAATGTTTGGTTAGTGTATAGGTGAAGTTCACCAAGTTCTGCAATTGTCTCCAAAGTCTCTGTAGAACCTATAGCCCTATAAAATACCCTGTGCAGAGCTACAACTTCTAGCACATAATATTCCATGCCACATGTCACTTGTTTGTCTCTACAACTGTAAGTTACAACAACATAAGTCATAAAAGCATCTCTTTTTGAATGTAGAACTACATTTTCCAGCACTATCAATACTGGAAGCACATCATACTCTCCATTCAACTGGCAACAATAACACACACACCAGTGTCCCCTAACAGTCTGTGCTTGATTCACTGCAAACTTCTACAGGGTCTTTAGGGTTCCAAAGGATTGCGGCATTCCAGCATTCCCTGTCCAGCCATGATTTTTTGTTGGCCAATGGTACTTCATCATCATATAACTGGTGTGGCAGTGATCAGGGACACCGACTGGTGACAATATGAAAACATAAATAAATATATATATTTTTTTACTTTTTTTATTACTTTTTTTCTTTTTTTTTTACAATTTGTTTTTCATAATACACTGTGACCAGAGTAGTATAATGCAAAATCCAAATACCTTTCACCCAAAATTCACGCAGTTTTCCAATTGAATCCAGTTAGAAAAATATAATAATCTTGGTGAAAGTTGTGTGAGTTTTATGTGACAACAGAACAGAACTATGGAATAGGAGGACCCATCTTTCTACCCAATCATCTGTATCCAATCAGGCAGGCCCTTGCACTACATAGTTGATGGTAGATCTAAAGGAGATTGTACAATCCAATTGTATAGAGTGAACGTTACAGACCCCAGAACACAATTCTTCTGTTTTCTATACCACAGCTTTATCCACATAGGCTGTTATCTGTTCACTCAGCACAAACTGCCAAATGAATGATCTATGCAAAATGAGTGAGAACAGTGGTCATTGACTGATTACTTTTCATTTAATAGTCATGCACCTGGAAGTGGGCGGTAGGTAGGAGGGTAGATGATGCAGGGTGTGTGCTAATCAGGTCAGCTGGTCAACTTCTTCCTGTATCCTAAGCTAAATTCTCTGTAGGAAATTAGGCAGAAGTAATGGCAAAGCTTTTTGGACAGCCATCTGGACACTGACATAAAAGTGGATAGAAAAAATGGAAAGCTTTCCAATGTCTGCAAAAAAAGTATATTAATGCTATATTGGAACATAGGGGAGCTGGAATTAAGAAAAAAAACCGTGAACTTTTCCTTTAACCACTAGCCTACAGGGCACTTATACCCCCTTTCTGCCCAGGCCAATTTCCAGCTTTCAGCGCTGTCGCAGTTTGAATGACAATTGCGCGGTCAAACAACACTGTGCCCATATGAAATTTTTATCATTTTTTTTGTGACAGATAGAGCTTTATTTTGGTGGTATTTAATCACCTCTGGGATTTTTATTTTTTCTTAAACAAACCAAAAACCACTGAAAATTTTGAAAAAAAAAATGTTTTTTCTTAGTTTTTGTTATAACATTTTGTAAATAAGTGATTTTTCTCCTTCACTGATGTGCACTAATGAGGCTGCAGTGATTGGCACTGATAGGCTGCACTGATGGACACTGATAGGTGGCACTGATGAGGAGGCACTGGTAGGTGGCACTGATGGGCATTGACAGGCATCACTGATGGGCACTGAAAGGCAGCACTAATACATGGCACTGATATATGGCACCGTTAGGCGGCACTGACTGGCACTGATAGGCGGCACTGACTGGCACTGTTAGGTGGCACTGACTGGCACTGATAGGTGGAACTGATGCACACTGATAGGCGGCACTGACTGGCATTGATAGGCGGCACTGACTGGCACTGATATGTGGCACTGATTGGCAGCAATGATAGGTGGCACTGATTGGCATTGATAGGTGGCACTGACTGGCACTGATGATGACACTGAAAGGCAGCTCAGATGGGCACTGATATGTGGCATTGATGTGCACTGGTATGCGGCATTGATGTGGCACTGATATGCACTGGCACTTGGCACTGATCGGCACTGACAGCTGGCACTGATGGGCTTTGACAGGTGGCACTGCTGGGGCTACACTGATCATCAGGGCACACTGATCATCAGTGCCCTGATGATCAGTGTACATGTCCCCTCTGCGGAAAGCCGATTACCGGCTCTCCTCTCCTCTCGAGCTGTCAGCGTGACAGCTCGAGAGGAAAGAAATGCCGATAACCGGCATTTCTGTGTTTACATGTGATCAGCTGTGATTGGACACAGCTGATCACATGACCGAGCCGACATCTTCTACTCTTTCCGTGATCGGTGATCCGCTGTATCCGAGGGACACAGCACACCGCCGATCGCCGCGCTGCTCGCTCCTTGAGCCGCACATGCACGGTGAGAATGGGAGGACGCGTCATATGACGTCCTCTCAGAACGAGAGAACCACCTTGCACTCGTCATTAGACTATATGGCGGGCGGGAGGTGGTTAACTGAACAAACTAAAGTTCGAAGTTGATTGGTTACCATGCACAGCTGCACCAGATTTTGCACTCTCCAGTTTTACTAAATCAACCCCTATATGACAGAAAGTGTGTTAACTACAGGACACCCCCATCCTCTTCTCCATAACCCAAATCATTTTATTTGATTTTAACCTTATAACCATTCTAACAGCTTTAGCAAGACAATAACACATTTCCTGACTATCTACTTGCTGCTTATGGGAAAAAAGCATCACATAAACTGTAACCATTATTACTTATCTTACTTTTTTTACTGTTTTAGAATTTGTTAGGTGCATACATTTTTAGTACTAAACTAATTTTTTTTATGATGTAATTGTCCTAGAATAAAAATCAGCTTACAGCATTTAATTGTTCTTCTTCCCTATTAATCTAAATGTTATTAGTAGTTAAAACATTCATTAAAAGTATGTTATGATTAAACAGGTCTGAGGAGATGATGGATTAATCTATCGTAATGGAATATATTCTCACAGATGGTTTACAATATGACAAGAACTGTTAAGCCTGTCATTTTGAAAACCCGACCCAAGAACACACTGTACGTCTTATTAATTGAGAAATGATTGCCCTTTTGACTCACACACATTTCACATTAAATGGCAATGTTTCAAGCATCATAACTACGTATATCACATCATTTGAGAATTATTTATTCATTATTTAAATATATCTTATGAGCATAAGCATGTCAGAAGTTAATAAAAATGTATAAGTTTACTCCATTATTTGATGCTTTTTTTCTAAAAGGCAGGATAGAAAATATGGAAGTAAGTAAACAACCAATGGCAAACATTGTAATCATTACTGTAACCTAACCTAGAAGTAATAATTGTGATACTACATCTTTCCACATTAATAATGTTACATTGCAATGAAGAAAATCGAAGGTGGTGGGCATAGCAGCTCTTAGTCATGCTTAGCAGCATCAGATGGTTCATACACAGGTCTGTTTTAACAGAAATAAGTTTGTAGCATTCTAGGATTTCAAATGAGCAATAGTGAGAGATAGTTTAGGAGATTTTGAATTTCCAGCTTGTTTCAAATTCTTTTGCAGTGAAAAATCTCTCCACTGTTGTTTAAAGTTCAAATGACTGGAAACAATGATAACATGCGGACACCTATCGTGTGAAATGCATTGAGGCTTGAGCCATAATCATCACTTCCGGTTTGTCCCCTGATGTCACATTTGGCCAGTTGGAACACACGCTGGCCACGAATGCCAGTGGCGGTGTGAGGAAGGGATCCCCCTAGTGAGCTAAATGTGTTGGTGCCCCCCTTTGCCACCTGAACCATGTAAGTGCATACATATAATTTTGTCTTTTGTTTATTAAAAAATTGAGTGAGAAAACGATATGTATGCACTTACATGATATATATACAGTATATATATATATAAAAATGTAACACCGATGCTGTATGTATACATAAAACAATACAAGAATCATAACAGACAATCAAACATGAATTAACCATAATTAATACAAATTATATAATAAAATAAAATAAACGCAGGTAGGTACAATTTAATATAAAATAAGGAAAAAAGAGATAAAAAGCCAGATGTGGAAAATTTAATAAACGTTAAACTATAAAATAGAAACCGATGATGTAATAAAAATAGATCCACCCCCCCTTAAACTAATACTTTGTTGAATCACCTTTTGATTTTTATTACAGCACTCAGTCTTTTTGGCTATGAGTCTATCAGCATGGCACATCTTAACTTAATATTTGCCTACTATTTCTTGCAAAAACACTCCAAATCCGTCAGATTGCGAGGGCATCTCCTGTGCACAGCCCTCTTCAGATCACTTCACATATTTTCGATTGGATTCAGGTCTGGGCTCTGGCTGGGCCATTGCAAAACTTTAATCTTCTGGTGAAGCCATTCCTTTGTTGATTTGGATGTATGCTTTGGGTCATTGTCGTGCTGAAAGATGAAGTTCTTCATGTTCAGCTTTCTAGCAGAAGCCTGAAGGTTTTGTGCCAATATTGACTGGTATTTGGAACTGTTCATAATTCCCTCTACCTTGACTAAGGCCCCAGATCCAGCTGAAGAAAAACAGCCCCAAAGCATGATGCTGCGACCACCATGCTTCACTGTGGGTATAGTGTCTTTTGGTGATGTGCAGTGTTGTTTTTTTGCGCCAAATATGTCTTTTTAGAATTATGGCCAAAATGTTCAACCTTGGTTTCATCACACAATAACACATTTTCCCACATGCTTTTGGGAGACTTCAGATGTGTTTTTGCAAAATTTAGCCGGGCTTGGATGTTTTTCTTTGTGAGACCAGACCAGTTTTCTTCTTGTCTTTTCATCAATTTTGGAGGGATGTCCAGTTCTTGCTGGTGTTAATGTGCTAGTATTATTAGAAAACATCCAGAACTGTTGTGGAATCCAAATAATGTTATCTAACGGTGCCTCACTTAGTGTGCTTTCTATTTTTACCCAACTTTCCCTTGTGCATTATATACCCAATCTACTACCCATGATAATATTACTGAATGGCAATATCTCTTAAAATCTGGCATATTTAAGCTTCCATCTAGTTTATCTTTGCACAGGACTTCATATTTTACTCTTGTTTTTTATCTGCCCATATATACCTTAATATTATTTTTGTTAAGATCCCACAGTATGTCATTGGTATATATATCGGGAGCATATTATATTTATACAAAACTTTTGGATTATCACCATTTTCACCAAGTTTATTTTTTCTACCCTGAAGAGTGATCCTCTTGAACTTGCCCTCAACTCATTCTTTATCTCATTTGTTATTGGGATTTAATTTACCTGATATATGTTTTTAAGAAACGAGGTCAGCTTTATTCCTAGGTATTTTAATTCTTTTTCCCTCCATGTGAAAGGAAATTCATTTTGTAATACTGTTTTCTCTAACTTTGAGATGCTAATATTTACTTTGAAAGGTTCACTTTTAAGTTTGATAACTCTCCATAATATTTTAATATTCTCAATAAGTTTGGTAATGTTAACCTAGAGTTTACCACATAGAATAACATATTGTCTGCGTACGCTGCAAGTTTGTGTTCCACGTCCCCAGTCCAATTCCTTTAATATCTGTACTATTTCGCACTGTCGCTAGTAACGGCTCTAAAGATAATACAAATAGAAGATATTCCTGCCTAGTTCCGTTATACATTTCAAACACTGATGACAGTAAGTCATTGATCTTTATAGCTGCTGATGGGTAACTATACAGATTTTTATCCACTGCATCATTTTAGGTCCTATCCCTATTGCTTCTAATGTATCCATCATAAATCCCCAGTCTACCCTGCTGAAGGCTTTCTCAGCATCCACGAATAGCACTGGGGACTTCTCTTTTTTAGTCTTCTGCAAAAGGAGCAATGATCTTAGGCCATTATCCCTTCCTTCTCTTCCTGGGGCAAATCCCACCTGGTTTAAGTGTATCCACTCCACCATTAAATCCTTCATCCTAGTTGCTAATATTTTTAATATTTTGAAATCTGTTTTAATGTTGTGAAAAAAGAACAAAAATTTTAAGATGGCCATACATGGATCAAAACTCAGTAAATGCAGTAAGGACTGGCCAAATTTCAATCTATTTTTGGGGATAGTTGTTGTGGAGACATTGATCTACTGATCGACTTCTGTACATCCACGGATAATTGCCATTCGATCAATGCCTCCGGCTATAGCCAGCAGCACTGATCAGTGTATTCTGATGTGCGTGTAAGTCTCTCCATTGTTAATAGATCATATGCTCTATGATTTCTGCTCATACAGTATATGTATGTTTTACTGGAAGCATTTTGAGTAACTGAATAAATATAAGAAAAATAATTAACTTTTGGAAATGGAACCTTATGGCCCAACACTTTAGCCCACTCATATAATTCTAGTTAAATAAATGTATTGCACTATTTTTATAAAACATTTGTGAATATGAATGAAGCGAAGCAGGCATTTGATGTTTGTAATTATAAGTGTAGAAGATGAATTAAATCATCAAAGGTGTCCAAGTACATAAAAACAGCAAGTGTTGAGCACAAAGACAAGTCAGTCTACTCCTGGGCATAGCGTGCTCCACAATGATTGATCTGATGGCCATATCACTTAAAGGTATCTTTTATTTCATGCATTGCTATCTATTTCTACATTTACAAGAATTGTTACCCTAATGCTTAAAATTACTTGAAACATAATGTCTAATTTCATACTCAATACTTTTCATTTATTTGTTAGGAAATACATAAAATGAGGCTATCTTGATCACAGGCTAGAATTCTATTTGATGTATATTCAGCGCATATGCTTTTTAAAAATATCAAAACCAAGCTTGAACATATTTTTTCATTTAGTTTTTAGACATGTTTATGAAATACGTTTTATCAATAATGGCAGCTGTCACAGTGCTTTGTACATAAAACATGTGTATGTAAATTTCTAGGACATTATTTGACAAATATATATTTTAAGATGGAGATTCATGAAAATGATTCATGTTGCAATAAAGCCAGCACGTCAAGTTCACTGTAAAAAGAACTAATTTTCTTTGCTACTTCAAAGTTGTCTCTTTTCCCTAATCTTTTCTTTTGTTCATTTATTTATACAATGATTCTTTTCTGTTTGTTTTCTAAGGTGTGATGATGGTAATGTTAGCAGGATCCAGCATATTACTAGAAGGAAATGGGGTGACATCACAACCAATATGCCCAAATGGGGGCACAAACTGTCAAATACCCACTTCTGCTCTCTTTGACCGTGCCGTAAAACTTTCACATTATATCCATTCTCTTTCTTCAGAAATGTTTAATGAGTTTGTAAGTATAGCTATAACATATTTATTTTCTGGCAAAAAATGACTACATACCTACAATATTTGTTAATTTACATTTTCAGACCACTTAGATTTGGTTTCCAAATATGAGATTTTTAGCTTTTGATGGTATATAGCAGATTTTATTTTAACGGCATCCATAGAAACTTTCTTTAGAAGACACTAAAAGGTTTGTTTTGAGTTGGTGAATGTATAAGAGGTGGAGACAGTGGTAAAGTTTTTTTCAGCAATTCCACACTTGGATGGCTTAGAAGCTTCTTTAAAAGTGACTCCTATCCTCCACATTTCTTCTACTTCTAACGTGAACATATCTACCTGTAGAGATGTCTAAATTAGCATGTTAATGTCTAAGCAATGTGACATCCTCCTTAGCCACAACACCTGCAGATGATAAAAACAAAAATGGCAATGATTCAGGAAAACATGGGGGAGATGAATTTTAAAAAGAAGTTAAAGCTCAGCACCTGTGTTGCTGTTCCTTTAAAGAAAACGGGACTACTTCAAAGGTATTCCTATTCCGTTTATTCATTTCTTTATATATATTTCTCAGGTTTGGGGGCAGATAACTCAGAGATAGAGCCCACATAGAGACAGGGTTCAGGACATAGAGACCTTAGTACAGCAATGTGGCTTCACAGAAAACAGGCACCAAATCTGGTAGTAAAGGCAAACGTAATATATCGTCACCCAATTTTATTGGTAACAAGGCAAACATAAAATTGATTGACGATGGTAATAACACTAGTTTACAAAGTGAATAACAGTAAGGATTAGGCATAAGATGACATTTGGCATCCAGATCCACATAAACAGTTGCAAGGCCACCTCAAGTGCAGCAGTGAGCAGTTGTAAAGTTTAATCTATCAAGTGCTGGAACTATACCACCACAGCTTATTTATGGTGGTGATGCTAGTCCTAGACTGACTGGACATACAGGGGTTTATTTACTAAAGCTGGAGAGTGCAAAATCAGACTCACTTCTGCATAGAAACCAATCAGCTTCCAGGTTTCATTGCCAAAGCTTCATTGAACAAGCTGAGGTTAGAAGCTGATTGGTTTCTATGCAGAAGGGAGTCTGATTTTGGACTCTCCAGCTTTAGTAAATAAACCCCACACTGTCCAAAAGACAAAGGATGATGGTAGAGGAGGTGACAAGGGAAAAAAGGGGACTTGCTGAATATAGCACAGGAGGATCAGTCCTTTGAGATGTTCTTTTAGCTATTGTGCAGGCCCTTTAAGAACACTGGTGCACTTAACGACAGTCCCAGTAACCTGCATGCAGTATAGGTATGGTATAGTTTCACCTCGGGTACAAGGTAGACATTGTTCAGATGTGGTAAAGATGCAGTATAATGTGGTATAAGGTTGGTATAGGTACAGTCTATTTTTGAAATAAGAGCGGAAGAGAGTTCAGTATGGGTGTGGTTTCGTTTGGTTATACTTGGTATCCTGCTCTGGCTCAGTCCCTGCAAGCAGTTTTATAGCCCACTCACCAAACCCTGAAATGCCGTGGTGACGTCTTGCTGTAGAAGGGGGACCCTCTTGGTTTCTCTGCAAAAGCCTCCAGTGATCAGCTGTGGGAAGCAGAGAGTGAGTGGATGCTCCAGTCTCCCTGTGGCAGCAGTGCAGATACTGTGATGTGGGATGGGCTGCGCTATCTCTGGGTGTCCTCATTCCCAGTCTCAGGCTTAGCTCTCAGCTTGTATTGTCTCCCACGGGCAAGTGACTATCCAGAGGTGCTCTCTCTCTCTCCCCTAGCACCAAGAGAAAGCGCTTACCCCAGGGCAGTTTAATACAAATCATCTCTATACTCCTTTTATTGCACATTGCTTGTTGGGATATATAGTGTAAGGAGTCCATTTGCCCCATTATATGGTTGCCATCTTAAACTACAAATGCCAGAAGTCTCAGTCTTCTGCATAGAAGTCAATGGGCCTGCTTGGGTTTAGACCTCCCCCTGCTGGCCTGAGGAGAATGGGGCAGCTTGGCATCAGTATTTGAGTAGAGAGAGAGAAGAATAAAAGGTAATGTCTCTTTCTCCATATTGCTGTAGAACCTAGCTACACATGTATTTGCAAATGTATGCAACAAAAAAAACTAAAAGTTGAAACAGCTTAATAAGTCTTTTTTTGGGGCTGACTAGCGGTTCTGATGAGTTTTATAAAACACATCTTTAAGCAATAAAAAATGAGCAAGTAATTATGCAGGTAAATTAACACAGAGACCACATACAATGCAATTAAAGTTTGCACTGCTATTAGCATATAAGGAGATTATACATAATGTGTAATTACTATAGTGGATCTGTTTACATTTTGAGGCTGGCAAATATTTATTATTAACTAACAGAAGGAAGTTATTTTGAGGAGGAGTGACATTAGTGAATACGAGAAGCTTTACAAAGCAGATGGATTGCCAAGAAAAGCTTAAAAATTAAAATGCGGAGGACAGTCCTATTGGAGGGGATAAACAATTCTAAAGGAAAAGCATAACAAAAGAGAACTCTAGAGTTGGCCTCCTTCCCCAAACATCATTTCAGTGTGTGAATGTTTCTTCTTGAGAGAATTAGCACAGACTAAAACATGTTTTGGTACAAATTAACCTTACATTCCTATATGGCAGGATGAGCGCTTTACTCCAGGTCGTAGGTTTCTAGCAAAATCTGGAATAAGCTGCCATACTTCTTCTCTGAATACTCCAGAAGACAAAGAGCAAGCCCGACAGATACAAGTAAGTGCTTTTTTCAAATGTTTCAAATGAATGGCAATTAAGTGAAAAAATGTAAGTGAATATTGTAAGCAATATAAAGTATACTTTCACTTAGTATTTCACAAGAATAACTCAAAACAAGTCCTAAAACAGCATTAAAATCCCTGCAAATGTTTAGCGCATTCCACAGTTCTTAGACACATACATATACAATTGCTTTATTGGTTTAAATTTTCAGTTCTCTATGACATGTTTATTTTTAGATTACAATGTTAACTTGTGTTTTTTTTTAAACTTGATTCCATATTGGTATAAAACAAAAGAAATACCGTATAGCTTAAACTTTCCTACCATTTTACTTGAATATTTAAATCCCTAATAGAAAAAGGCTGATATACTGTAATTTTTGTGCATACACTAAAGCATGAAGATCTGCTGAACTTGGTGCTGAAGGTTCTAAGATCATGGAATGATCCTTTGGTTCACATGGTTTCTGAAGTGCAGGATATCCGGGAGGCGCCAGACACCATCCTTTGGAAAGCTGTAGAGATTGAAGAGCAAACTAAACGTCTACTGGAAGGAATGGAAAGGATTATTGGCAGGGTAAATATGATATTAAAGATACATGTAGTGATTTAGTAGCATAATTCATGGTGTGGCTCATGTTTGCAGAAAAGGGTGTATACTTCCCAAAGTCAGCTACAGTACAGTGATAGACATAATGGAAGTGCAGTAACCAGCTATTTTGACATCTTATTTAGGAGTGCAGTAAATAGATCCTACCGTTTGGAAACCAATGCAAAGTTTATAGATAGACCACTTGTTCCGTATTTTAGACTTTCAAGCTGTTTTAAGTCTCTTCCTCTGTGCTCTTTACACTATAGTCTTTGGTTGTGAGTTGTGTCTACACTAATAGTTCTATAAACTGCTTGTGTGCAGCCTTGATTGCCCATTCAGGCTATATCTTCAAATTTAGAAGTAATTTATATATATTTACAAATAATTAATAAGAACTTTTCCTCTTAGATTCAACCAAGTGACATAGAAAATGAAATTTACTCACTATGGCCTGGTCCAGCTTCAATACCAGGAGATGAAAACTCACGCCTCTTTGCTTTCTACAATCTACTCCACTGCCTTCGTAGGGATTCTCATAAAATTGACAACTATTTGAAGCTTCTAAAATGCCGTCTTATCCATGATGGAAATTGTTAATCTTTTATTCCTAACTCTCTACAGCAATAAAAATGCATTTCATTTCACACAGCAATGAAAGGAATAAGTCTTTTAGAAAAACATTTGAGAAAATAGTTTTTGTAATAGTTTTATATAGTTTCTAATGAATTGGATTCCTAGTTGTAGCATAAATTCTAATGAAATAAAATGCAAATTGATATACATACATACTGTATGCAGTATATGTTGGTGTGCATTTTCTTTTTTCATACATACCCAGATGAACAATTTAAAATGTGCGCATTATGAAAATGTTAAAAATAGTCTTTTTAATTTATACATATATTTTCATTGATCTTTTAATGTATGCACATTCCCCTTTTGCTTCTCTCTGTAGGGCATGCATGATCTATAATACGTGAATGTTTTTCTCCCCAAGACAAATTGGTAAGACCCCTCTAGACATTAGATGACTCTAGAATGGGTGACAAGCTAAGTCTGTATTGCACTTGCAAACAGCAACAGACAATGACAGCCAAGATACACTAAGGAAAACAGCATTCAGACATCTTTTCCAATCCCTACCATTTCCCTTGTTTTGGCTGGTGCTGGAGGTATCTTCAGCTCACTTCCCTCACACCTAAACAGGAGCATTCCCACAATGCCTCCTTCTGTGTTTAGAGAAGTTATATAAGCTATGGAAATACCTTACAGCGCTGCTCCAAGCTGGAAGTGGAAAGAGAGAAAGGGGTATGGGGGGGAGGGGAGGAGGAGGTAAGGGAAGGAAAGGGAGAGAAGGTAAAGAATGGGAAAGGAAGATTGTTAAATATTGTAAAACTAACTAAAGAAAATGAAAAATGAAAAGTCCAAGGAAAAAAGATATATATATTCATGATGTAGTAACCAGAAGACTGGTATATGATACTACTCATAGAAATGAGTGACATCCAACCTAAAACGTAATCCTTTCAGCATCTGGGTTTCAAGTTTAAAAATCCAAAAAACGTTTGCAGAAGAGTGAGAAACAATCTCCTTCCCTTGTATTAGAATCTATGTGCTCTATAATCTGTACTTTTAGAGATTTAGCATCAGAGTTATGGTACAATCTGAAGTGTCTGGAAATGTTCATATCTTTACTGGTCTTAAAAGAGAAGTACAGCCAAAGATCTTTTGGTTTTATTTCTCAAGTGGATCACAGGAGTGCAGTTCATTCTGCACTTCTATAACCCGTTTTCAGATGACAGCGGACTGAAGTCTGGGTGACGTCACTCTCCAGGCTGGGGAAAGATGCCAACTTCACAGTCGGTATCTGCCCCAGAGCCTGGAGCGGCACCTGGCTCAGCCACTTAGCAAAGTGCTGAGAGCCTAAACCAGCCTATCCCACCCCTTCCACAGCCCAGCGCTCCGGTGAGCAATGGGGGGGGGGGGGGCTGAGCAGACAACGGTGGCTGACAGTCACAACTCTTTGCTCAGAGTGGAGAGGAGAACTCAGCGATCAGCAATCATGCCCTTAGAACCACCGGGGGGCAGATGAAGCGTTGGGCCAATGCTTCATCCACCTAGATAAGTATATTGGGCAAAAAAAAACCTGTTACTTCTCTTTTAATATTGGATAGGTATTCTTGCATTCTATCAGTGAGATGCCTTGTTGTGTGGTCCAAATATTGGACATTACATTTTTGACAGGTGATTAAGAATCAAGTATGGCAATTGACTAGTTGTCTAGTCATAATTGCTACCATTAGCACAGGGGGTGACAGTGTGAGAGTCCCCAATGAAGCGAAAGCTTGAGCAATGAGTGGTATTGCATTTGAAAAAACCTGTGGTGTGTAACCAGGTATGTTCAGACTGTTTAGAGAGAAACAGGCTACGGGAAACTATAATGTCTATAGTCTTAGCCCTCTTAGCCACAATATAGGAAGATATTGGGAGATAATATGTTTGATATTATGGTACTGATTGCTATATCATGTCATATCATCCTTCTTAGCCACCTCTCCCCTCCCCTTCTCCTTCTTTCCTCCCCTTTTTTTCCCCTCCCTCTCCCCTTTTTTCTCCATTTCTTCCTCCCCCACAATTTTTTCATGTCCCGTACGATGTCCCTGATAAAGGGCAAGAGAGCTCTGATTTTAAATACAAAAGCTTTTTTTTAATTCTTATATTTTTCACATTTACATTCTACACTCACATTACCATTTACATTTTTTTTTATAATTTTTTTCTTTTTTCTCCATTTATATACATTATCATTTATTTACTGTTTAATTACAATAAATAAAGCATTTATTTGGAACCCTCTTTTTTCTTTTTTTACAATTTTTTTTTAATTCTCTTTATTTTATCTTATCTTTTTCATTTTCCTTCAGCATTATTTTTCCCTCAGTATTATTTGCTCTCCGTTTTCTTTTTCTTTTTTTTTCCCTTCTTTCATTTTCAACATGTTTTCTTAGTGTCTCACAAGCACACATACACACCTGTTTCCCTTTCAATGATGCGGATAAATTCTCTGGCTTCCAACATGCTCACTACCTCTGTGATCAAGCCCCAGTGGGCAGGGCAAAAAGTGTAAGAGGGTGTGGCCAGAGCAGTGGCTGAGGCCATCCCATATACTTCCTGGAGCCTGGGGACAGTTGAGCGGTGTCCATTTCTTTATTGAATTAGAGAAGTTACATACTCGCATTATCACTGTCCCCAAATATTATTGTTGGCCTTTAAAAGAAAAGTAAGTGAAGGAAATCTGTGCCAGAAGATTAGATATGTATTACTAGGCTTTGGCTTTTCGTACTGAGAAACCAGTCAAACACAGCATCCTTTCAGGTGCTTTCGCTGAAAAATGGTTTGGTTTTAAGAACAGTGTACACAAGCATTAGAGGACATTCTTCACTAATATAGCTGGCTTGTATGTTGCCAGGTTCATACAACTTCCTGCAGGCATGCACATAGTGAATGTGCATGGAGCTAATCAACTGAGCTATGCAATACAACTTGGGTTTAATTAAATAATATTAGTGTATAGTGCACTCTATTACGTAACGATTTAAAGTAAACATCAGCCAAACAAATGAACACAGAGTAAGAATACTGATTAGTAAACTGTTGCGTACCCAAATATGTACAATCCTGTTCAGGTATGCTGTTATTTATGATGGTTGTCATGCTAGAGAATTACACTAGCTTTCAAAGCAATACGTCTTGTAGTTTCCTGCACCTGTCCTTCTCCTACCTGATTTGTTGACTAATAGCCATCATAAGAAACAATGGTTTGGCCCTTTCTAATTTCTCCTCTCCTAGTAACCATTTAAGCATCCCTAACCTATTATTCTACCCAACGGGAGAGTTCTGGGCAGTATCTTAATATAAACAAAGGGGTAGGTACGCTGGCTGATATTATTGACCAAATATGACAATGGTCATATTTGGTCAGTGCAATCAGCCAGCATTCCCACCTGCATATGACCGGTCCCTCAGAGCATATTAACCCCTGAGGCATTAGAAGATTATGACTGTGAGGTTGAGGAGGGTCAGAGGATAAAGGATTTCAACTACAACTGCAGCCAGAGGCACAAGGGACACTTCACGTGGACTGTAATAACTGTCCCTTGTGCTGATTTGACCTCTTCCCGTCAGTCATATGCATATACATGGCTTCTCATTGGGTGGGCTTAAAATGTCAGTAAGTGGGATAAAATGTTAAAAATGATTTGACATTACACATTTTCTTTCCTCATTTCATTGTCTTTTCTTAAGATAACACTAAGGAATACCCAGTGTTCAAATGAATATGTTTATTTTTAGTTATCATTTAAAGTTCATTTAAAACGAAAGCTTTGCGATCTATTTGAAACCCATATGTTGTATTACAATGCCTTCATTTCTCTGAATATTAAAAAAATAAGGAATTTATATTAAACACCTATCTATCTATCTATCTATCTATCTATCTATCTATCTATCTATCTATCTATCTATCATCAATAAAACTACATATTATAATCAGATTTATTCATACAGTAATTATACAGAAAATACACCATATGTTTCAAACAATGTATCCCTCCTCAATCATTTAGAACTATACCCTTGTAACATTACATTTGGGATGCTGTTTGAAAGATTACTTTCTAATATTACCTGAGAACCAACAGAAATTGTGTTGGTTTTAAGAAGCCTAGTTAGAGATTAACACAAACAGTAATAAGATGTTTTTTTAGAAAAGAAGCAGGACAGCTGTAGCTGAATCCTTTGATACCTGCTGAGGGTTGCTAAGCAACTTGGGCCCATTACTGCCCCAAGGGTCTTTTACTTTACAATTATACATCTGAAAATAATAAAAATTAGACAGTTGTGAAAGTTAACTTATTTGAGAAAATACAAAAAATGGCATGTACTTTTAAATATATATCAATTAACAGGAGTAGAACTTTTTTTTTATTTAACTGACAAAATCTAACATAATGTAAGGTTTAAAATTTGACATTTTGACTCTAAGGGAGGAATTATTTGCAATTTGTTTTGAACAGAAGCTTAGTTCATGTCAGATGTGAACCTCCAGACAATCATTAGTTTAAACTGCCTGCTATGTGTTTAAAAATTTCAGTCAATTTACAACTGATCTGAATTGCAAATATGATGGTAATAAGCCATTAGGGAACAGCATATCTCTTTTTCACACTTACAACCCTCTGCTGTAAGGATTTCTAGCAAAAAAATGTGAATATGTCATTGTCTTTCTAACATGATAATACAGAAGACTGGAAAATGAAGGCATTTTTGTCTGAAAATTTTCCTTGTGATCACAATCAGGTATAATAATTAGAGCCCCATATATGCAAATGTGATGCAATGGTTACATTCAAGCTACATTTATTCTTTAAATAGAAATATAGTATTCATTAGCCATGTTCAAAATGCCACTATTAAACCTACAATATGAAAAAAAAAAAATAATATAATGTCTAATATATATATATATATATATATATATATATATATATATATATTACATATACTGTATATATACTGTATGTAGTTTACTTATT